AACTGCAACATACATACAGCTTATCATAAAAATACATACAACATATTACAAATTATAGAAATGTATAGGACATCAAGATTTACTGTATGTCACATTCAGATTAGTCGGAGGATAATATTCTGTCATATAATGTTAATATACACAGTAACTAAACACATGTACTGTCACTTTCTACTGTCGAACCCCAGAGTAAACACATTCAATGTTGGTGCTGTCGGTGTGACTTTTTGGTCTGCTGGATCTCTGATAATTTAAGGCCGCGTAGTGGATGTCCTCTTCATTCTGACCAAATGAAAACCAAATTAAAACTTACATTTAAATATAAAGTACTATTATACACAATATATGTCCTACCTCTGCGGTCATGGTAGGTTGTGCTGTAAAGAAATGCATCAGAGTTTAGTTATGGAACTGATATTTTAAAATATATTTATGATCATACAGTAATGTTACTCACATTTCTTCTTGATCTTGCAAATCACCAGTGAAAGTAACACACACAGGATTAAAGTCCCCACCAAAGCTCCACTCAAGACTTGTACCAGTAATAAGAGCACAGACTTAGACAGACACTCTGAAATAAGAAAATAAAAATTGCAGTAAATTCAAGAGGAAAAACACTGAAGTTCTTGTCTCGATGTCATGTTTCGCTCTATGTCATAAGTCATATCCTTCTCCACAGAAACAGTTATTGAACTGATGCAGAACAGGTGAGTTACACACATACTGAGGAACATTCTGGCAAATACATTCATGTCTAAGTGCAGCTTTAATATGATCTTCCAAATAGGTGTTGGAAATGTTACAGAAATTATTCCGTTTCTAACCCTAACCACCACCAAGTATCACTAACCACACTAGAAAAGCACGAAAAGCAAACTAGAAACACTTTTGAGCAAGAATCAATAATTGGCACGCTCCCAAACACTTTCAGAAGTAGTATGACCACATATGAAATTAAAGAAACTTATTACTGTTATTCTGTGTTAAAACTGATGCAAATTGTGTAACATTATGATAATGTGAGATGAAATATCTTTTAATTTAATTGAGCCCTGGGCTGTGTGCACAGCAGCAGCTGGATATGTTCAGTCAGAGGGAGAGTCAGTGAAACCATTTGATAAATCCTGACAGATCAGGCAGTGGACAGGGAGCTGTGGGTGGACGCCACTGACAACATGTTTCACACTTTACAAATGTGCTGCAAACTTCATCAGGACACATCCATGTGTAGAAAGGTGTCTCAATACTAAAGGTAACTTCTATCAAAATGTTACATCTATCACAGCAACAAAATGGCGGGTGTGGTAGAGACACATATTTGTTGATAATAAATAAGTAGAAATAAGAGACTTGACTTACTGTACATTTCTATCCTTGTTCCAGAACCAAGCATCGTGTTTCCACAGGCAGTCACCACACAGAGAAAAGTCTCATTTTCAGCTGAACTAACTTCTGTCAGGATCAGGTTATGAACACATGAAGTTTCTCCGTCTTCTCTCACCCCACAGTTCATACTGGTGTTCTCAAAGTTCCATGAAACAGTTTGAGAACCACTTTTAATCCAAGTGACACTGGTATGTTCTTGTGGACAGAGGCTGGTGTTAAATGAACAGCTGAGAGTCACAGAGTCTCCTGGCTGCACTCTGATATAGTCTGGACTCTGGAGCACAGACGGTCTGGACCTGGACTCTCCTTCAACCACCAGAGCTGTTCCTGCTCTAAAGTCCACAGAGTCGTTTTGATTTATTCCACAGTAGTATGTGCCGGCGTCTTTCCATGTTACGTCAGGCACAGTCAGAGTACTACCAGTACCGTGGGACTTCAATGAGTAACGTTTATCTTTGAGTTGAAGACCTGAAACACGAAATTCTGTTGCTATTTTTTGTAATCTCCTGTTGGTGTCCAGTTTGTACCAGACCAAATTTCTCCACCCTTTGTCGACTTCACAGTTCACATGAAGCACGTTTCCGAGTTTCACTTTTTGGTCAAATCCAAACTGAAGCTGAGCCTCAACTGCAAAAAAAAAAAAAAATTATTTATTTATAGAAATTTTGTATTTTTTTCAAGTGACAGGGCAGAAATGCTTTAATTTTCATACTCACCATGAGACCAGAGAAGAATCACAGCCACAACCTTGAAGAGCATCTTGTCACTTGTGATCTGAAGTGAGCAAAGATGAAATATAAGACCCGTGATGAGGGGTTCTGATTGGACACAGCACATGCGAAACTCCACCTGATTGGCTGATTTTATTTTCGGACACCCGGGTTTATCTGCTTGAGTACATTTTACTTTTGGTGTTTGTGGTAGCAGTGAAACCGGGTTTAAAGTGACAAAGCTCACGTCTGTGTTCATGTGTTTTTTTGTGATGTCTGTTTCAAGATCAGCACTGATGTGATGCGAGGCCTTTAAATAGTTAAACAATATACATGAATTCAATGGTCAAATATGTCGCCATGTTTAACCAATTTAAATTTTCTTTTATTTTGAGGGGTTGTTGGTTTAACTCTTGGTTTAACTCTTAACTCTTGACTTCAAACTTCAGATGAACTAATTGTATGTATAGTGAGTGTGTTGTATGTATAGTGAGTGTGTTGTATGTATAGTAAGTGTGTTGTATGTATAGTGAGTGTGTTGTATGTATAGTGAGTGTGCTGGTGTTGTGTACTTTTGTGTGATTGTTGCTGTACTTTCCTTTGTCGTGTAGATGATTTCACATCAACCTGCCGAGGGACTGAAGATGGAAATGAGCCACGTTGGCTATAATCTTTACATATTTAGATTTTTAATGTTCATTAATATGTACTGTCCCTTTACAAATAAAAAAATAAATAAATAAAAATTAAACTCAGTGACATCTAGGTGTATTGTACAGAGCCTCTGAATATAAAGGGTCCAAAGACTCACCTCCTCTCCTAGAAGGAAAACGGCACAACACATCTGCCTTACCCTTCCTACTGGCCGCTGATGTGCACAGATGGAGCGCATGTAGGACATGATCCGCCATGGCGTTTGCTGAATAGAGATCAGGTTGAGGTGTGGCATGTATAGTGCACAGTTATTTGTGTGTGTACTTAAAGATTTTACGCATTTTTTCTTTACTTTTTTTTTTTTTTTTCAGTCTCTGCTACAGACAGAAAAAATTGCTTCTGAATATGGCTCAGGTTTATTTTACTGTATCTTAGCACAATGCATCCATCACGCAATGATTTACAAATTAAAGTTCCAGTCATTTGAAAGTTATTTAAACTAAAGTTGTGAATGTTTTAAATGCCTTGGTCATAGTGATTTCTTATAACAATAATAATAACCTTGAATTCTTGCACTCATATGTAGATCATATGAGAATTAGAGTTAATACAAACAGAAGAATGCTCCAAACCACACAGATCTAATCTCTGATCTGCTAAACCGCAACCAGCAACCAATCACCATTGTGTCGAAGCAGCGTGTTCTAATCTTAAATCTTATCTGTAAGACTTATACTGGTCTGTGAGACATGAAACTTTGTGTGGTCAGAAAAAGAAGTGTACTTGTGCAGGGTGTATTTCATTTGAGCTGACTTTTATCAGGCATTCTAGTAGATTTAAAGCAAATCATTTTGAGAAAGTTGAAACGCATGATTGTTCTGAGATGGTTTATCCAAAGAGAAACATACACACACTAAAGGTGAAATGTTTGCAAATGTTACCAAATACTGAAAGGCCTATTGTTTTTTCTTGGAAGAAAGATGGTAGATCTACTGCAAGTCAGTGAATACAGCAGATGCCCTCCCACTGGAGAAGATACCATGTACTGAAAGGCAAAACACAAGGTCCTTTTGGGGTTTATTGTTTGAATGTCAGCGTGGTTTTGGTTGTGTGAAATGTTCTATGTGTACTGATATTAATACAGTGAGTAAAGGTATGTGGCACAGTAGTAATGATTACTTCTTAAATATTTATCTCGATTAGTGCAGACTATGACTCTTCAGTTTCAGACTATTCAAACTGTAGCGTCTATGTGCAATTGAGATGTTGTTAAATTAAGTGAAAAGCTGCATGTTTCATGTAACAGAACAATACATAAAACACATGAAATGTAAATGATTAATGTTCTTTCCAGTGTGAATTGCAGTCTCCACGTGTAAGATGCTTTGGCATCACAGCACGTCCAGACTTTTCCCCTGTACTTGATTGGCCTGTTTCCTGCTTCCTGCTGCTTCTGCCTGGAAATGGAACGAGCTGTTCCCACACAGACGTTCTTGTCAGGGCTGAAATTCATTGGCAGACCTGGAGAAAGAGTCACTTTTCCATGGTTGGATTCATTTGTCATCAAACCTCAACGCAGAATTATTAAGCATTTTTAACACTGTGTGACATTGTTGCTCGAAAAACAAGCCGTCCTGGTTTTCTTAAACTCAGTGTTCAGGACCCCAAAAATTTGATTAATTTACATGAAGATAATTCAAAGTTCTACAAATTATAACAATATATTTTTTCTACAAATTGCTATTTTAGACAGGACCTGTTTGTCCCAAATCACTGATGCAGCAAATACTATCATTTAATAATTAACACAATAATAACACAAAAACAACACAATAATTAAGACAAAGTGGGATTTTTTTTTTTTTCCCATTAAAGTTTATTGGAAACAAAGGAACAAAATATATCGTACATTGACACAGCATTTTGATTAAAGTCCCCTTTCTCCTTTTCTAAAAGTAAACAAAGTCATTCTACTTATATTATAGAAATTATCAAGCAAAAATTGTATTTTTAATAAATCCTTACATTTGCTACAGATATGTGCATAATTGTTGTGTGATTTTACTTATGAACAAAAATGAATCAAAAACAATGTTAGCAGGTTCAAAGCCGGAATAAAATTAAACTGTTCACAAAAACAACTTTATGAAACAAGTGAAGCACGTGAAGGAACATTCAGATGTTAGTACAGTCTACCACTTTAAAATACTGCCAGACATTCTGACCATCCACATCACTGAAACAGGCACACACAGCATATGACACAGGCAGAGGCAGATCCATCCATTTCAGAAAACACAGCTACTTTCTGTTCTCATGTACATACCATAATTTCTTCTTTTTTTTTTTACTTTTTTCTCACACTTGAGCCCTGTGATTTATACAAAGATGTGGCTAATATACATACAGATTATTTGTTTATTGTCACCTGTCGCTTACAGTCAGGTGAACTCAATAGTCCAGAAATTATGGTATATATATTTTTTTCAGTTTTCAAGATATAAAACTATGCTAAATACTGCCCACAGATACAATTTTACCAAACCAAGAAATAATTAGAAAAACATGAAAACTTCCTGAAAATCATTCATCATTTTATGATGTTTTCACTTGAGAGTATATATCTGTACCAGCAGCTTCTTCCACAGGAGGTCTGGAAATTGTGTCTCTGGATGTCACATTCAGTCCTGCATAAATGATTCCATCTTCAGCCTAAAAACAGAAGAAACCTCAAGTTATACAGGCAAGTAGCTAGTAAATGTATAGACTAGCAGTCAAAAGTTTGGATCCCATTATTCACTGTATTTTTTTATTTTTATTTTTTTTACTTCTTTCTTCATTTGATATACAAACAGAAGACATTAAATATCTGAAGTAAGATTTATGGAATTATGCAGCAAAGGAAAAAAAAGTTAAATAACTCTTTTATACAATATTTCGTAATCAAGTCCTCAAATTACAATTTAATTTGTCACTAGTCCATGTAAAAAAAAAGTATATATATATATATATATATATATATATATATATATATATATATATATATATATAATATTATATATATATATATATATATATGTTCATGTTCAATAGATGTTCAGTATTTTATGTCTCTCATTTCAGAAAGTCCCCATAATTTGTAAATTTGAATATTACATAAAATAACAGTAATTATGAGAGAAATGTCAGGCTTCTGAAATGTACATTCATTTCTATGCACTCAATACTGGGTTGGGCCTTTGAAATGAATTATTGCATCAGTGCACTGTGACATGGAGGAGATCTCCCTGTGGCACTGCTCAGGTGGAATGGAAGGACCAAGTTGCTTTGATAACGACCTTCAGATGATCTGCTTTGTTGGGTCTGGTGTCTCATCTTTCTCTTGACAATATCCCAGCGACTCTTTGGGGTTCAGGTCAGGTGAGTTTGCAGGACAATCATACACAGTAACAAAATGGTCAGTGGGCCAGCTTTTGTACCTTTGGCTGTGTGGGCAGGTGCCAAGTCCTGCTGGAAAATGAAATCAGCACCTTCATAAAGCTTGTCAGCAGAAGGAAGCATGAAGTGGTGTAAAATGTCCTGGTAGATGCGTAGCTGTGTTTACTGTGGACTTCAGAAAACAGCAGATGACTTGGCAGCCCAAATCACCACTGACTGTGGAAACTTCATTCACACTGCACTTCAAGCAACGTGGACTCAATGACTCTTCATTCTTCCTCCAAACTCTGGGACCTTCTTTTTCAAATGATACACAAAATGTACTTTCATCTGAAAAGAGAACTTTGGACCACTGATCAACAGTCTAGTTCTTTTTCTCCACAGTCCAGGTGTGACTCTTCTGACATGGTCTCATGTCCCATACAGGATTTGTCTGTGTGTAGATGCACTGACTCCAGCCTCTGTCCACTCCTCATGAAGCTCCTCCAAATTCTTGAGTGGATTCTGCTTGTGAATCCTCATTATTCTGGCTGGTGCACTTTTTCCTACCACACTTTTTTCTTCCCCTCCAGTTTCTCTGAATGTGCTTGGATACAGCACTCTGTAACAACCAGCTTCTTTAGCAATGACCTTTTGTGGTTTTCTCCATGTGGAGGGTGTCAGTGAGTGTCTTCTGGACATTGGTCTAGTTCAGGAGCCTTCCCCATGATTGTGTAGCCCTCTGACCCAGACTGAGACCATTTAAAGCCTCAGGAAACCTTTGCAGGTGTTTTCAGTACATAACTGATTAGAGGTTGACACCATCACTTCTCAATATTCAGCTTTTTCATAATATTCAAATTTTCTGAGATGCAAAATTTGGGGTTTTTGTTCTCTACAGGCCATAATCATCAAAAATAATCAAGTAATAAAAGCTTGAAAGCTTCACTCTGTGTCATGAGTCTATAAAATATGGGTTTGACTTTCTGAAATGAGTTTTTTCATGATATTCTACATTTTTTTAGATGGATGAGTACATTGCAAAACTATGACTATAACTACACTTTTGGAGTGTAGTGGCAAGCAAAACATTGTTCAAGTCACTCAAAACATGTGCTTTTATATTGTAGGTTCTTTAAAACTGGCCACCCTTTGCTTTGATCAATGCTTTGCACACTCTTTGTATTTCAGTAATGAAACCTGACAAAGCACAGCTATGAAGTGAAAACCATTTCAGGAACTTCATCATGAAAATCACTGAGGGAAGCCCAAGGGTTTGCAGCACTGTCAACAAAGCAAAAGGTGGATTCTTTAAAGGTCCTACATTACACAAAATGGGTTTATGTGAGCTTTAAGACATGATGTAATGTGGGTCCTTTAAGAAATTTTCTTTGATGCATAATTCCCTACATCTTGCTAATATTTGACATATTTAGTATGTATCTATCAATGTAGAAAGTAGGAAACATAAAGAAAAAAACACTGGATGAGAAGGTGTGTCCAGAGTGTAGACTGGTGGTGTAAATGTGCGGAGTTTCAGTGAGTTTGACCTGACTGTCCTGATGAGATCCATCGTCGTTCGTGTGCATCTCTGACAATATAAAGAATTTATTTTCACAGAGTAATTCTGAACTGAAAATTAAAAAAATAAATAAATAAATTGATTTCATACCTGGCTCTTGTTTTCGGTGGTTGTTGTGCACCATTCGCAGCAGCACAAGCACGAACAGTCCAAGAGCAATGTTCAACCCGATCAGTGCCATAGTTGTCAGACTCAGGTCAAATTCTGTGAAAGAAAACAATATAACTGAATAGGTACCATCAATTAGTTCATTCTGCTGCTCATATATTTATCAGGAATGGAGAAATGTCAGTAATTTAGAGGTGGGTAGTGAGTCTTAAAAAAAAAAAAAAAGGCCACTTGGGTCACAGGCCAGGTCACATTCATCCCACCTACAGGTCATAACAACACGGTAACAAACACATGTTGTGAGCCAATACAGCCCAACGCCAACAAGAGCGGTACAACTAGGTTCTCACAAATCTACCCAAATGTTCTTCTTTGACTACACACCTACACGTTCCTTTCTATGGCCACTGCCCCACAAAACACCATGACCAAAAACCTTGTCCTCCTCCTCAATCTCCTCCTTAAAACAAATAAGCTGATGTTCTGGCTCAGGTGCACGTGTGACGTCGTCGTGTCCTCCAATAAGCATGCAGGACACTTTTGGGGCGTTTAAAGTTCACACTGGAGATCACATACAAGTCACACTAAATTGGCACAAAATAAAACTATACTTCAGAAAATTCTCTAGAGATCATCCGGTTTCATGGCACACAAAGGAATATTATAGTCAAGGGAAGAACATTTCCATGGAACAGGCAGGAGAAGGCTCTACGTCTGGTCAAATAAGGCTATGTTCAGACTGCAGGGCTTAATGCTCAATTTGGATTTTTTTTGTGAAATCCGTTGTTTTTGCGAGGTCGTTCACATTAACCCCCAATTCACACCAATGCGCAACGGCGCGTAAGCGCAGCAGCACAGCACACGAGCAGCAGACGCGCAGCTTTAGAACTCCATTTTAACCGGTCTGACGATGTACACCGACAGTGTCATACGCGCGTCCAACGAGCGTCTGACGCTGACGTGCTGCTCGAGATAGGTTGGAGTTCTAATTTTGCAGCATCAACGGCGCGTCTCCAAGGTTTTTAGCAGGGGAAAGACAGGAAATAAACACACGGTGTCAAAATAAACTTCCGATACCCTTTCAAAATAATTTAACCAAAGTCAAGACAGCGACGTAAACAACGCACACGTGATTTACGAAGTCAGACAGCAATTCTACAAGGACTCAGGACTAAACCAGGACAAAACCAGAACTAAACCAGGACTAAACCAGCCCCGAGTGTCCGCGGGCAAAAGGACCGGTGCAGAGCTTGGAGAAGAGGTACGTGCAGCCGTCGCGCTTTTCGGACACCTGCTCCGCGGGGCTCAGGGTTCACTATCTCTCTCTCTCTCCAAGATTAGACCTGGTTTAGTCCTGAATTAGTCCTGACCCGCCCTTAAAATTCCAGAACGTTAAAACTCGCCCGTTTCAGCGACTATTTTCCCTTATCCATCGGTGCAGGACTCTGTATCAACATATAAACCTATCGGCCTTATTACCTGGACGGACATATGATTTTAATCACACTCATAATGTATGTTAATTATACGTGATTTTACCTTATTAATGGAAAAAAAAAAACGGAGGTGTTTAATGTGCGTGCTAATAGATTTAAACCTCATTAAACGCAAATGTGTTGCAGTTGTACACTTAATTCACAATACACTTATTACACATTCTAACTTAATACTCTTAACATACATACATTACATTTAAATGTGTCTTGTATGTGATCTCCAGTGTGAACATTAAACGGCCCAAAAGTGTCCCACATGTGCACTAGAGACACGACGACATCAACCGCAGCGAGCGTGCTTCTGTGTTTATGGAAGTTGTCCAAACATGGACGTGAGCTTTGAACACCTCGATTTTAAAGTTCCTCTCGTACCAGAGCCAGAACATGAACAACTTACTTGTTTTAAGGAGGAGATTAAGAAGGAGAAGGACGAGGTTTTAGGCCATGGTGTTTTGTGGGACACTCTGTTGAAAGGAACGTGTGGATGTGGAGACGTGGCCAAGAGTGGTGAGTGGTGATGTGCTTCGCTTCAGTGACACGGAGTTCATTAACAATTTTCGTATGACGAGAAGAACGTTTGTGTACATGTGTGAGCACCTACTTGAGCCACTCTTGCGGGAGGAAACACATCTTTGGCGGCTTATTTCCGTGAGCAAACACATCAGCGTTGGGCTGTATTGGCTTGCAGCAGGTGCTTGTTACAGCTTGTGCTTTGGTAAAGCCAAGTCCACCGTGTGATAACAAGTAGATTGGATGAATGCACTTTGGCTGTTCAGACTGAAGTCACATGTCAAAAGATCAGATATGTATCGGTTTTAGGAGCACATATCCAAGTGTCCTGGGTCACATTTGAAAAAATCAGATCTGTGTAGTTATTAAAAGATCAGATACAGGTCACATAAATCGGTTTTAGGTCACTTCAGGCTGCAGTGTGAACGTAGCCTAAGAGTCAGGTTTGTGGCGCTGCAAGCCCACTCATCATAGGATCGCTGTTTTACTATTTTACTATGGCTCTAAATTGTTTCTTAGTTCTTACCAACACTGGCATTAGATTTAGAAGTTTACCAGAGGACAGCAGCTCCATCTTACTCTTTTGTGTGTTCAGAGGGCAGTACTTGTTTTTCTCACAAGGGAAGAAGGAAGTGTTTAAAAGAGGTATTTTCATTTGTGCAAGTCGTCCATAGTTCTCACAAACACTCACAGATGACTTTAAAACAGCGTAGTTTCAGGTGCAGAAGTGAAACTGGGGTGAACTGCCAAAGCACAGCCAATCAGGGCACTGTTTTTTTAACTAATTTTTAGAACTAATTTTGTCGCTAAGTGAAATGTTCAATATCTTTTTGCTCTGGATGTGCACGGAGGCTTTCTAGAGGGAGAAGGAAAGCCACAGAAACTAAGATCACCAAACACAAATGCTTTTGTTAAACTCCTGATTTTATCTGACTTTCTTTTTACATTTTTTGGCCAAATAAGAGTCAGGTTTGTGGAGAGGCAAGCCAGCTCTGTTAGTATGGCTTTAAAGTTTGTATAATTGTGACTTAATTTGGTGGCATTATGACTATTATAAATATAAATTATAGTTTTACACCAATCAAGAAGCAATTTGAGACAAACAGTCCAAGCATACTGATCACACCAGGGAGAATTCTATCCAAAAGTTAAATACATTTTACACATAAGAAACCACTTCTGATACTTTGAACTAAATCAAGGTGTTTTCTTATATTTGTATTTGTCAAATAATAATTTCTGTGTACATCAGAGGAGTTTTGCTATGTAACAGTTATGGAATTTTGTAGTGTGATGTCACAATTTCCATACATGATTTTTTTTTAAACCTAAAAGTTGGGCAAATTGGGAAAATAAGTGTGAATGTTTTTGCACAAATCTTAAATCTAATGATCTGCACTGTGTTTTAGTCAAATGGTACTTAAATGTTGTCTTAGTTCTTACTGTTCAGATGGATCCTGGTCCCAGCTCCCAGCAGTGTGTTTCCACAGGCAGTCACCACACACACGTAGGTCCCCTCTTCAGCAGAACTCACGTCTGTCAGGGTCAGATTATGAACGCACAAGGTACTGACCTGATTCTCACACATCATATTCTCTTCACCAACATGCCTTGAAACTACATATGAAGCAGAACCTATTTTCCCCCAACTGAACGTGGTGTGGATTGGTGGACACCTGCTGGTGTTAAATGAACAGCTGAGAGTCACAGAGTCTCCTGGCTGCACTCTGATGTCGTCTGGACTCTGGAGCACAGACGGCAGAAGTGAAGAAGGTCTGGACTCTTCCTCCACCACCACCACCTTAGTCCCTGGTTCAAAGTTGATGTCATTATCGTTCATGACTCCACAATAGTACGTGCCGGCGTCCTGCAAGGTCACATTTGATATTCTCAAGGAGCTACTAGTTTGAGAAGTCTCCACAGTGCAGCGATCTCCAGTGTAGATATTTTTATTTTTACTGGTAACGGACGATACTAACAGTTGCAGTCTCCTGGTGTCCTGTTTGTACCAGACCACAGTTCTCGTTCCACTTATGACTTCACAGGTGACATGTACTGTGGCTCCTATAGTTGTCGTTTGGAGGACTTCAGGTTGAGACTGTGCCTCAGCTGAAATGAAACCATATTTGAATTGTATGTTCAGTATAAGAGGTAATGAAGTGATGTTCTGACTTACCCTGACACCAGAGCAGGCTCACGGGCAGAAACATAAAGATGTAAATCATGATGGCTCTCGATGGATGGTTATGATCTGAAGTGAGAGGCAGATGCTGTTTAAGGTGCAGAGCAGGGCCGTGTGATTGGACAACAGCTTTCACATAAATGCACCTGATTGGTTGGTTTGTTACGTCACTAACCACAGCATAAGAGCATAGACGAAACATTTACCTAAAAGTAACCAAAAGTTTTTATGTATCTACAAAAGACATGATGAAAATTAAATCATTTGCAATTAAAAACAGATAATTCTTTGAGACTTAAAATTCAAAGACGAGATAGACACATATTGGTGTTATTTGCCATCAAGCAGATTTTGGCAACACCTTTTGACCATGGTGCTCTGAGTGAGAGACTGAAACTAAGTGTGTGGTTGAAGTACAAATACAAAAATACAAACAGGGTTATCACACTAGTACCCAAAAATAATTATAGGCTTTTGTAACAGAGTGTGAGGCTTTTACAAATTAGTTTTTACTTTAAAAAAATTTCTACAAATTACCACGCAGAAAGCACACAAAAGTGCATTCCCTCCAAAATAAAGAGTTTGTGGTTGTCCACTGACATAAACTTATTTGTTCCCAATCCTCTACTGAAATTACATAGTTTGCTTCTCTTTCCATCTTTCTTTCACATAATCTGTGGTGTCGACTTTTAAAGCTTCCAAAGCTGTATATAGTTTGGATATAATTTTACTAATTAACTCTGATTTAAATGCATCCAGAACTAGTTTAAAAATACCTGACGGAAATAGATCCCAATTTACCTTATTAAATTCTTGCTCTAAATAGTGCCTTAGCTGTAGGCATCTTTGAAAATCCTAGTTACAAATATATATATATTTTTTTTTTAAAGTACAATACACATGATTTACAGTGATTTATGTAAATGTTGCAAAAACGCAACACAAGGGTGCCCCTTTTACACAGACAATCCCTCACCCCTGAGTGCTGAGCCAGTAGAATAGATGTATAGGTGTGTGTGAGAAGTGGCTACAAAGACAGTGCCAGAGGAGCATAAATCCATTGATGAAATGATGATTCCTTTCGAGGGAAGGTTCAGTGGCATCAAGCAGTATATGTGTGGGAAACTCCATCCCTGGGGCTTCAAGATCTGGACAAGAACAGGAATCTCCGGCATACTCTGTGATTTTGATGTGAACCAAGGGAGTGTTCGGGGTAAGTCTGCTAGATCTAGCACCAAACCATGGCCTAATCTTTGAAAGTTTGTCTTGCTTCTGTTCATCTGTAACACTGAGGTTGTGCACAAAGTGGATGGATGAAAGCAAAGCACTGGAAATAGTTATGAGGCATCACATCAGCTATCGGCCATACCGTGTACTTAGTGCAGTTCTGTATAACTAATCTAACCTGCTTCAGGACAGAGGGGACGTGCCTTATCCAGCTCACACATCCACAGCAAATAAAGCAATTTAAAGTCCAGAATCAGGGCATCTGATTGGACTGGAGCATTAACATAACTACACCTGATTGGTTGCTTTTGTTGTCAAATAAATCATTTTGAAAAAAAAAAAAAAAAAAGTTGAGAAAGACTGAAACAAAGTGTGTGGTTAAGATTTAAAAATACATAGACTAGAAAGGATCTTCACACTAGTGCCCAAAATATTGGTATGCCACAACATGCATAATGCTCTGCTGGTGAGAAAGAGCGAAACAAAGTGTGTGGTTGGAATAGTGTACAAATATACAGACTACAGAGGGTTTCCACAGAAGAGCTCAAAACTATTATTCTGCCAACACAGTCGAGTGTGTAGATCACACAGTTAATCTGCTCATCACCATCCTCCTGCTCGGCTCCAGGACAAACTGTCAGATCAACATGTCCGAGTTCACCTGCAGATGCATCACAGATGGACCAGAGTCAGTACACATGACTGAGAGTTTATGGACGACACCCACTCATCTGGTGGTGGTTTGTTTTGTTTATATTTTTCTCAAAAAAGAACAAAAACTAAAAACACAATTACATATTTGTATTATTTATTGTACTTGAGTCCTGAAGAAAACAATGTGTAAAATGTAGGCTTCTGTTCATGTTTCAAAAAAAGGACTTATTTTTACAAGGTAAAAGAGTAACTCAGTCAGATCAAATCAAAATCACCAAATCACTTTAAGTACATAGAGCAGTAAAATACAATAATAATAGAAAAGCTCAAACAAAAGTGTCAATGTAACTTAACAGGCAGGGTTAGCAGATTAAAGAATAGCAGTCCTAAGGACAAAAGTGTCCCTCCTCTGTGTCCTCTGTGTCCTGCAGCATCGCAGCAGTGTCCATGGAGAGACAGGAGACAGGAGGAGGACATATTATTGACAACATTTTGCACAAGTACATTCAAGTTAATTTTTTTTTTACTCTTTTAAAACATATTTACATGCAAACCACACATTTAAAATCACAGGATTGTACAGAAGGACCAAGGGGGTATTCATGAGCCTGATTTTTTGTGGTGCCCTACGCACTGGGCATAATGTGCGTGTGCAGAGCGACGCCGCTGAATGTCACTTTCTACAGTCGAACCCCAGAGTAAACACATTCGGTGTTGGTGCTGTCGGCGTGACTTTTCGGTCTGCTGGAGCTCTGATGCTTTAAGGCCGCATAGTGGATGTCCTCTTCATTCTGACCAAACGATAAACAAAAATAAAACTTACATTTAAATATAAACTACTATTATACAAAGGTAAATCAATAACAAATGTCCTACCTCTGTGGTCACTGTAGGTTGTGCTGAAAAATAGTAATTACAATTTAGTTTTGGTACAGACATTTAAAGGGGACATATTATTAAAAATCTACTTTTATGAACTTTTAACCATGTTATAACCATATTACCTCATCATTGACCTGTTTTATTTTCATGGATGCATTTAGTGCTCATATTTTTTTTTTTTGTTTTTGTTTTCACCTCTGTCCTATTCCCGCCCACTGACCTCTGTTTACTTGCCATTATAAAAAACAGAAAATACATGTAAGGTTCTAAAATGTCAAAACACATTTTTCAACAATAACAAAACAAAATGAATGAAAATCCACTGTGTTCATGCTGTAAAGTCTCCATGAAGAGGTGGGCCTGTCACTCCTACAGTTTTGAACGAGACGTCAGTGGACTTGTTTTGATTATTAAGCAGTTCTGGTTTACAGTGATCAAAATGCAGTAATAGTTTCCTCTATATGTTGTCATTTAATACTAAATACGTCTCCTTAAAAATGTGTTGATCTCAATGTCACTCACATTTCTTCTTGATGTTGTAAATCACCAGTGAAAGTAACACACACAGGATTAAAGTCCCCACCAAAGCTCCACTCAAGACTTGTACCAGTACTGAGGGCGTGGACTTGTCTGAAATAAGAAAATAAACATTGCAGTTAATACAAGAAAAACAAAATTGAGTTTTTTATGAATTTAAAACCTCATTAAAAGTCTGCTTGTCTTGTGGCGTGTCTACCACCTGCTTGTCTCCATGGCGAGGTTATTGCTTTGCCTGGAATGTTTTGCACTATGGCATTAAACTCCATCTCCATTCAGACACATCAGGCCAAGTTACAGGCAAGTCAAGTGAAAAAAGCAGTACAGGTTTTTAGTGCACAAAATTAACTCTAGTCATGTTATAATGTTGTTACCTCATCAAAAACAGACCTGAAGTTGTGTTTTGTTTCATTCACATGTTCATCTCCAAAGCTGGAAATGCCCTGTTCCACCTCGTGATGTCATGTAGTGGTAGTTTTCAAGTAAGTAGTCAACAGATACCTTTAATTCAGCAGAGATTGTTAATTCCAGGGCTGAAATGATCCAGATGATTCTTGTGAAGGTGGATGGAGTTGTGTGCAAACAGTGGGAAAGTTTTTTTTTTCTGTTTGAGAGAAAAACTCAGCCTAAAGTGTTCAGAATTTGTGCGTTAAACATGTGAATGAAACAAAAGACAACTTCAGATCAGGGTTTGGGTTCATCAGCCACATCATTATGGACATCACTACAGTATCTATGGATGTACAGTGTGTAGATGAACTGGAAGGAATTACATCAATTACACATGAATTGCCATTGGATTCAAATGCTGTAATGAGCATCTGTACTGAAATTGAGTTTGAATTTTTTGTATTGTGACTGCGCACACACACCACACCAAAACTGGAACTAAACCTGGGACTAAACTAGGGCGAGATCAGAACTAAACCAAGACTAGAACCAGCCCAGTCTATTCAAACTAATGTGGATGCAGTACAACCAGAAGTACAAGTCAAAAGTTTTAGAACACCCTCATTGTTCCAGTTATTTATTGCAATTCAAGTTGTGCAAGTCCAATGAAGAGCTTGAAATGGTACAAAGGAAAGAACTGAACAGACAGAGGTTAAAAAAGATAACAGATACAAAACACAAGTCCAAGCTCTGCCAAAACTACCTCAGGAAAAAAGGACAAGATCGTGAGCTTGAAAACCTGGAGTGTCCAGCATAGTGTCCAGACTTAACTCTTTCCCCCTTGGACGTCTACTAGGAACAACCCATACATATATGACTAGAGCATAACTGCATAAAAGAAAACAGACTTCCACAAGTGATTATAAATGATATTCACACTCATGAACTTAATTGAAACACAGACGTATTTGTATCTCTGGAAACTTTAAACTCTGAACTCTTCATTTATGGATGATTAAATGTGATTCAACTCATTTCCAGGTTTATAAAAGCTCACTGAAAATGGTAAAAGGTCACATTTTTCTATAGCACTTTTCCACCTTCAAGGCACTCAAAGCACTTTACAACAAGGAACCACTTCACACACACATTCACACACCAGTGTACGCAGACACTGTGGGCAAGGTGGGTTAAGTGTCTTGCCCAAGGACACAACGACAGCATTCATCTGTGGGAGCTGGAATCACACCAGCCAACCTGTGGGTCAGTGGATCTGACCGCTCAACCTGTGATGTTTATGTCGAGAGCTGGAATTGAACCACCAACCTTCAGATCAGTGGGCAAATGCTCTACCAACTGAGCTACTGCCGCCCCAAAAAATGAGATTTTAGCTGGTCAGGTGCAAAATCACAAACAAAAAACTACATTCAGCACCTGATATATGCATGTTCTGACTACTATATTCATAAAAAAAATATATATATATATATATATATATATATATATGTGTGTGTGTGTGTGTGTGTGTGTGTGTACACCTGTTTGTACCTGTTGTACACCTGTGTGGACCTAATTAATTTTTTTCCATTTAACTTATTCAACTCATTTAACTTATTTAAATATTAACATATTTGATTTCTATTGTTAAAAGAACGAGCCACAAATGTGTTCAGCTGTTCTATCTGCCAAAGTTGGACTTTTTCATCAATCAGAAGTTTAGAATACATTTTGGTCAACAGTAAACAGTAAAGACTAAAAAGACGTGTGGTGTTCTAAAACTTTTGACCAGTAGTGTGCATCATAGTATTTACCTTCAGAGTCCCATTTGCTTTTAGTCCCAAAGAGCAGTTTCCCGCATGATGCCACAGCACATTTTTCCAAATTACTGTCTGCGCTGTCACTGCGTACAGGAAGGTCGTAGACACAGGACTTTGTTGAACTGTCCATCCTCCCCTCACACTGATCACTGCTGCCTCCATGACTGTAAAGAATCCCTTTTGCAGACTCATACAAAGTATTAAACCAGTAGACTTGGTGTTTTTCTTCACATATTCCGTTGTTGAAGATACAACTCAACTCAGAGACTCGTTGAACACTGGAATTCTCCACTGTCAGTTCATAGTCCAAAGTTGCAAAATGAAATCCAGCACCGTCTACATCCACAGTAACAACTTCCAAAAAATCAAGCTTGTACAAATTACTACTCATGCAGAAGTAGGTGGCTGCGTCAGAAACTATCAAACCCTTAATCTCTAAGTTGTTGTAATTGTCTGTATTATTAAGTCTAAACCGATTCTTGAATTTAGTATCGACTTTAATATTCGTAACTTCTCCTTCATACTTGTTGTAAGAAGTAATTCTCACTGGTATTTCTCCAAAAACTTGCTTGTACCAGTAGCACATCACAATATTGCTGTCCTGACAGTTGCAGTTTAATGTCACACTTTGTCCAACTTGGCCACTCAGAGTAACATGGGATAAAGCTGGAAATGGTCCTGGAGAGAAATGTCAAAAATAATTGTTTGCAAGTTTTGTTTTCCTAGTTAAGAAGAATAAAAATTGTTGTTTACTTACCCCAAATGCCAAGGCTGAGGCACATAAGAGTCTGAGCAAAGTTACAAGGTGACATCGTGCCTGTAGTTGCAGAGCTAAGTGTATCAAAGTTGAATCCTTTGAGTGTTCTTATAAGGGCTGACTGTGTGAGCTCAGCCAATCAGATTTCACAAAGTGTGTCCTAACTCTGCACACGTCCTCATTTGAATATAGGCTGATGAAGTGATAGCAGTGTCTCTGTAGTTCCAGAGATCTGGTGACCCCTGTACACTTTGACGTTCGTATTTCATGGGATTTCGTTTTTTTTCTTTTTTCCTGGGATCCAGACTATCTACTTCTCCAATAATTTACAGAGATGTGAGTGTAGTCCCTGAGTTCAGTTGGATGCAATGGACAGGTGGATTAGACAATCAGGGACATGCATAGTCCGTATCAAAGCAAACATGGCTGCTTATGAGGAAAAAAACAACGGAAAAAACATCTGAGTCACCTTGAAGATTTCTGCAGAATCCGTGAGCGAAGCACTGAACTCTTTTAATCTGGAGTCTGAGAAATTTGGTTCTACTGTAAATGATGAGTGACCAGTGAGCTCCCTTGTTTTACCTGCATGGCACTGGCACGATGGCGGGCGTGGGAACCAGATCCCTCTGTATAAAAATACACAGGCATTAGATCTATCGTAATATTTATGGAAAACAAACAAAAACATCTTTAACTCCAGCTCCAGATGAAAATGATTGAGAGTGCACTGGTAAAAGACAAGACACTGTTCAGTTACTTGATTTTAATTCACCTCAAACACAGAAAACATCCTATTTTTATTCTTATCTAATCACATCTGATGTCCTGAGTTCTGGACGTTGACCAAAAGTACTAGCAAGGCTGGTGCCACCTAGTGCCTCCGCTCAATTTCATTTCTCTCCAGCGACTAGGTCAGGAATTGAAATACACCAGACGATTTGCAAAAACCCCGGAAGTGCAAGTTCGGGCATCAGCCAATCAGCGAAGAACTAGACTTTCTGTGTTGGCAACGATTCCCGAGATCGAGGATTTAAAGCCGGAACAAAGAGAATGGTTTGTGAATTTTATCAAGGGGGAAGACGCTATTGTCCTTCTTCCTATGGAGTTTGGGAAAAGCTTAATATGCAGGTTAGCCCCGTTAGTTGCGCATTACATACGTCACGACCAAATAGCAGCGATTGGTTGAATAAAAAAAGTACCTGCCTAATGTCGAGCGAACAAATTCTAAAGCTGCGAGGTCAGACGGTTTCCATGAAGTGAAACCAGTGGATGAATCAGGCTACAAAAGTACAACATCCCAGATAAAAGCCATTAAAATAAGTGTACTTTGGATACTTGCATGCTCAGATCCTATGACATCTGGATTTTAGTTGGATAGTGCATCAGCGATATCACTCTACATACACATAAAGTGACACCGGCTCAAGATTATACATCGGAATTGTGTAACCGTGTCCCTTGTCGATGCCGCCAGTGTAAGAGGAATGTCTAAGGAGTTAGGAGCTTGAACAATCACGCAAACCATCTCCCAGCTGATAGTTCACACCTTCACAGAATATTTCAGTTGACTTGACCAATAACAGACACGCCGTACCGTAAAACCTAGGGTGTGTTAGTTTCTCTGCAGTTACCCTCTCAGAAAGTGTTTATTCGGGTCAGTTTTGAGATTTGATGTTCTTAATGCCCTACTGCGAAACCACATTCAGTACAATCACAGACATACTGCATTACGAAATCTCTGCTTTCGGAAAAGATGTGTGGGTAATTGGAGCATAACTCGTACTACGTTACATAACCAGAAAAAAAAAAAAAAAAAATCACAAAAAGCGTGTGGCGTGGATCATTTTCAGCCTCTTTTAGTCGCATGTTTTGACTCTGTGCCAGGCAACGGCACAAGCGTAAAGAGCACAACCCGACCTGTGGTTTGTGTGGCCTGAATGCAACACTCAGCAGCATGCATGTACTTCTTAACGTGACTTGACTCTCTCTATCATTTTGACCCTGACCTTTTGTATAATTAAAGCAGAATGTGGAACTATTGTGTCTAAGTAACAAGCAGAGTTATAACCAACTATAACCATTAACCTTTAACCTGTAACTGATGACTATACATTGTGTGTATTTAAAGTTGCTACACAAAATGGATTCTTGTGAGTTTTAAGCCATGTTATAATCTGTCTACATTTCCAAAGCTCAAAATGCTCTGTTCCACTTTGTGATGTCATGCAGTGGGAGTTTTCAAGTTAATAGTTACATTCTACTAAATACATCAGGCCAGGAAATAAGACGAAAATAACTTACAGCATCCAACTATATCCTCCTCCATTCAGTGCAGTGAACGCTACATTGGAGAAACTAAACAGCCACTTCACAAGAGGATGAACCAGCACAGACGAGAGAGCAGCAGTGGACCTCAGTCTGCTGTACATCTCCACTTAAAAACCACGGGCCACTCATTTTAGGAGAGTGAGGTACAGATTTTAGTCAGAGAAAAGAATTGGTTTGAGAGGAGAGTGAAAGAAGCCATTTTTGTTAAGAAAGCAAATCCTTCTCTAAACAGAAATGGACTCAGACACCATCTGTCTTCTATTTACAACTCCATCCTCAAACCTAAATCAAAACAAACAAGAGAACAACAGGTGTAGTCAGGTCAGGTCCAGAGGTGTGGAAGCTCCATTATGACCATTAATTGTTCTGCTAATTAGATCCCACACCCTGTACAGGTCAATAGGCCGAACTAACAAACAGAAACTGTAAACAAGTGTGTGTGTTAGTTTCAGAGTAGTTAGTTAGCTCCTCCCTGCAGATATAAGGAAGTGTCCACCAGCGTCTGACCAGAACTGAAGAAGCAGCTTGGATGAGCTGCGAAACGTCTTCAACCAAACAAACTTTTGTCCAGTCGACAAACTGAATTTTCTCCTCGACATGATACACATGTAGGCATTTCAGTATATTCAGTATTTGAATATGCCTACATGTACTATATACAGTACACTATATACAGTACACTATATACAGTACACTATATACAGTACACTATATACAGTACACTATATACAGTACACTATATACAGTACATGTAGGCATATTCAAATGTCTCAATTCAAAGTGTGTATCAAGTATTAGTGTTAATGACAAGTTAACATTTTCAAGTGAATAACGTACAAATTTACAAAAAAAATTTTAAAAGTTTGTCTCATGTGGTGTGTGTCCCCCCCTCTGGTAGAACCTAGGCCAAGTTACAGGTCAGATCTGTGGAGAGGCAATCCTCCTTATACTAAAAATGTATGTTTTTCATTGTATATTTTTAGCAGTAAAACCTGTAATTTAGGACTGCACAGTTTTTTTTTCGCAATAGCTATTACTTTTGCAATTTATGTTAAAAAGTAGAATTCTGTAGAGAGTTCATTTGAGACATGTCCAGGATCAGGAACATTTGATTGAAGACTAAAATATAATTCAGGACATATACAAACTAATGAATTAACTTTTCTGTAAATAAAAAAGTAATTTGTTGTTTACTGTGAACTGTCAATTAACTAAATAATTGTCTTTTCGAATTTATTGTGACATATTGTTTAGTGCAAAACTACGTAACATTCTAGGCAAAGCAATATTATTTCTGGATAAGTTACATAGCACAAGTTTGAATTTGCAAACTGAATGTGCTTTTCATCCTCCTGTTGCGTCTCATACCTTGATACAGTCGAGATAATCATCTAGCCCCCGTCTTCTTTTTGGAGACATCCTGTTGAAACCACAAAGCTAACTGGTCCTCTCACAATAACACCGTCCACAACAACGGCACAACAAATAACTTTTCGATGCATGCAACATTTCAACATTTCACCAATGCACCGTCATTTGCAACAGAATCTGATCTTGAATTTCAAATCATGATGGAGATAGAGATAGAGATAGACAGTTTATTTTGCGATGAGAGCATTGATAGTGGTCTTAACGCTTGCAGAGCGGTACTTCCTGTGTTTATTTTCCACCAGTGGAAACAGTTTTACCATCATTCGCACATCTCACCTCAGACCAAGAGAAAGCGGCTGACACCAAGCTCACCGCCGGACAGTTTGCACGCTACAGACGCTGTCATTATAGACAGGAGGGGATTTTTCGGGCTTCCTGCTTGCTCTGTTCACACTGTTTGGTTGTGTGTGGTGATGCTTTTGTTGATGTGTAACTTGAAATGTTCATTATTTATTTTGTATTTGGAGATGGTAAAATGAATTTAAACTAACTGTATGCAAGATTATAAAGATTGTTTTAAAGATCATAAACTTGAACCATCTCTGTCCCCAGATACAAGGTACAAATGTTCAAATCAAACAATACTGATAACAAATGTAATGAGAATTTATTCTTAATTACAAGAGCATGATGTTCCATTTCTCTGTTATGATTTGGTGTTTTGGTTTTCAAGATGATTATCCAATCAGAAAGCAGAATCAGTCTCACATGAAATCCAGTGTGTTTAAACCTAAAAAGTCTCTGCTCTGATCTGAATGGTCTCTACCTAAACTCCAACACCTGCACCAATCCTGAATCAGTGCTAGTGCAGCCTCTGCAGCTCAGGGAGGGAATTCTGGAGGGTCTGAGCTTTATGAAAAACATTATTATAAAAGCATTTTCACTGTTGCAATGTAAGTCCTTAAAAAAAAAAAAAAATCAGTGATTTTTCTAATTTAAAGTCTGATTTATTTGTTTCATTACTGCAAATAAGTTCAGAGCAGTGGGGGTAAGGGGCAGATGAAAACACACAAGCCACTGCAGGATTAGTCAAACATGCACGGGTCAATCAGAATACAACTCTGAGCTAAATAATGGTGAGGGAACTCCAATATCTCATGATTAACAGTTAATAAAACATGATTTATACATAAAATCTCATTTCATTTTAAAGTAAACATCAAGATTAAACCTGCAGTGATTCTTAAGCACAGGGCTTGAAGCGAGGCCATGAGCCCCTCCACGAGGCCCCAGGTCACTCTGTACTCTTTCTTCTCTACTGGACGTTGAAATAGACACATTCACTCCAGGTGTCGTCCCTGTGTCTTCTGGACCTCTGACTCTTCCTCTGCTCCACGGCCACATAGTAAAGAACATCTCCTTTTTTGATCGTCTAGTGGAATAAAAACACAAAAGCACAAACTATCATCATGTAGAGACACTGCAGCTTTATTCTGGATAATCTTATCTTATCTTACTCTGCTGTTCAGCAAGATACAATCTGAGGAACTACTACTGTTGTGCACATTTGCCCCGCCACAAACAATATATTATAATAATTTTAATTTTCTTTTTTATGCTCTGAGTCCCCCCTCTTCTTGCTCCCCATGCTAAGTCACTCCCTCTTCAGAGCACTATCACAACACAATCAGGGAGCACGGTGCTGATGAAACTGCTGCACATTCATCAGGTTTGTGAAGTTGTAGTGTCTTGATTTGTATATTTAAAATATACAAATCAATACACTACATCTTCACAAACCTGAAAATGGCAGCGCTGGAGCCTTGGACAGGAGTGTACTGACTGTAGAGGAGGGTTCAGACAGGCCCTGGGAGACATGACTCAAACATATATGGATGACACTTTAAACAATTCAGGCACATTTTCATGAGGGAATTAGGGTTGGGCAGTGATATGGTATTACGGTATACCGCAGTATCAAAAAATAGCAATGGTATTAGTTTCATTACCATCATTAAAAAGAATCTGAAGTGCATAAGGACCTAATATTATATTATAATTTACTGATATCTAAATGTGTTTTTGCTGCACAAATGAATGAGTGGTTGTATTTTCAGTTTAATGCTATCACGATTTAAAACTAATAGTATCTATAATGTTTCTTGGGGAGATGACATTCAATTAGTTTCATTCCGCTGTCACGTGACACTCATAAGAGACCGAGACAAGACGGCAAGTCCGGCTGCAAGAGAGTTGGCTTCAGGCGCACATTTCTTTACGTTTTACAGAAACGAAACTTAAAACCA